AGAGTGACTCAAAACCCTGAATTTTAGAACTTATAAACAAGCTTGTGAATCAAAATTTTTTGAACGATTTTGGATGTGATATACCTACAGTGATAAAAAGAAAAGTGTTGGAATTACCAAGAAAAACAAATTTTGCACTTAAATGTTTATCACTTAATGTGTGCTTTTAAGGATCCCATTATTTTAATGACAGCAGTAAGGATATTTCTGATTTAAGTTAGTCTAGCCCTGAATGCCCCTTAGGTTTTAATCTGCCTTTTAAAAAAAACCCTAACATTTTAAAACAATTAAAAAAAAAAAAAAAAAAAAAAAAAAAAAAAAAAAACTACTTGCTAGGCCTGCGTATTGGGCAAGATATAGAAATCAATACTTTGATGTTGTTTGTGTTTACCTGGTTTTCTTCCTCAGCTTCATGGTACTGCTCTCAGTGGAGGTAGTGAGGTCATCTTCTATGTCTGTTACAGGGTCAAGAAACCTCTCCATTAGCTGCACAACAACAAAAGAATCCTGATAATACAATGCTAAATAATGTGTTTTTTTTTGTAACTCTACAATAATCCCCTACATCTTCTATGACTATTATAGGATCAAGAAACCTCTTCATTAGCTGGACAACAACAAAAAAGTTCTTACTACACAATCTCACATAATGTTTTTTTTCTGTAACTCAAAAATAATCTCCTTCACCCCCCCCAAAAAAAAAATCAATAAATATATAAATAAAATTCTCTCCATAACCATGTTAGTTTCTATAAAATTTAAATAATGCTTTTTTTTCATAACTGCATGATCTCCATCCCCACCCTCAAAAAAAATCTCATCATCATGTATTCTTTTATAAAAAAAAAAATACTCTACATAGCAGGAATCAGCGCTGAGACATTAAGACAAAACCCACCCGTCTGTATTGATTGAGATGTTAATCAAGGTGATTTTGTAATGCAGTATGAATCCAAATGTTTTCAGCAAGATTAGGCTGAGCTTACTGGAGGAATTTTCTTGTACATCAGTTCATATGCTGAAGGTCTGTACTGCGGCTCCTTCTCCAACATATCTCTGATGACAGCTTTGAACTCGGGACTGTAGTTGCCCTTCACTGGGGCAAATTGACCCTAAAAGATGACGAATTCGAGAAAGGAATAAATTCTCTCCGTTAAATAAGCTTATAAAGTTAAGTTTCATGCTTGCAAAGAAAAAATAATTGCAATTTTGCATTTAAAGATAATGTCAGCCCATTTTGCATGATGCTTAGTTATTAGTATGAGTATATCTTGCTGCCAATCAATAATTTGCAAGTTGACAAATGATTAATCTCCCTGACATCCTTAACGTATGAGCTACATTAAGCTAATCACATCTTACTAGATATAAAACAATTCTTGGTATGAACCTATTGAGAAAATACTCCTTTAGTTCAATGAACTCTCATTGAGCCGATTTCATTTGAACTAGCCTGAAATATTAATAATTAGCTGTTTCAATAACTCAACAATTAGCACATATTTTCCTCACATTATTTGCTAATAAGAAAACACAGGACTGATTTCAAACCAGCACAGTTTTACATTTAAACTTTTCTCATCAGAATTAAAGTTACTAATAATGACATTTTTTTTACCTTCATAATTTTATTGACTAGTGCAGGAAGATTTGAACCCTCAAAGGTTTTCTGAAGACAAGCCATTTCATAAAGAATACATCCCAAAGCCCATATGTCTGATTTGTCATTGTACGCCTTTCCTTCACACTGAAAATTAAGATGATAAAAATATTAATGTCAATACTGCACAGGAATGTCTGTTAACCTGTTACAGTCAAATATCGTAGTCCATAAAATTCTGTGATCGAAAAAAGGCAATCCCTTATAGTTATATAATCAGAACTCTTGGCAATTACATCACACAAAAAAAAATTTTCATGAAGTACTTAGTTTCTTTCTATGCATTGAAACTACTTTATAATTGCAAGCTCATTAAACAGACTCACCATTTCAGGACTAATATAATATGGGGTCCCCAATACTGTGTTTGCTTTGGCAGCTGTGGTCATCATTTTAGAGATACCAAAATCCCCCATTTTTACAACACCTTCTTTAGTAAGGAAAACATTAGCTGTCTTAAGATCTCTGGAAACCAAACAGCACATATATGTATATAAACCCATTGCAAATAACAGAAAATATGTATATTTCTTTGTAATGAATGGAAAATATTACCGAAAGATATTCAATAAAAACATACATGATACCTTAATATTTAATTTTTTTTTTAGATTTGTACATACTTCATCTATTGCTTGTTTACATTTTTAATATTCACCTTTCTAAGCATAGTTAATAAACAAAGCAAAGGACAACAAATAAAAAGATGAAAAGAGCAGATAGATAAACTATTCTTCTTACAGTAATCATCTTTAAATCATTTACAGAAATCATTAGGAACTCTCAGACATGTTCCAGTAATGAGACATGTAGCAAAGGTCAATGATATAATACACATGTACAATTAACTATATTTCAGTTCCGCCATACACCAAATCAATGCAGTAAGATTTATATGAGTATTACCTGTGCAATATATTGTGTTCATGTATGTGTCTTATGGCAGCAACCATTTGCTGAAACATGCCAAGGATTTCTTTCTCTTCAAGCGGCTTTTCTTGAGAGCTCAAAAACTGAGCCAGTGTGCTGAAAACGGATACCAGATTTTAGGCAATATTATCTAATACATGAGAAAAAGACATATAATTTAGCAAACAGAAACCTTTCCCACATTTACTATTAAATTAATCAATTAAAAACAAATAACAAACACTTCTTAACATGACCATAAACACAAAGGCTACTAAGAGAGATTAACTGATGCATTAATTCAATTAACTTTCAAACCTACAATTTACCATTTGCTAAAACAAGTAATATAATGCACAGGTGCACTTACCCTCCATCTGCATATTCCATCTCAATCATGAGAGTGCCGTCCTCCTCAAAACTGTCATAGTAACTGATGATATTTGGGTGGTCCAGCATTGCCAGAACTTTCACCTAAAGGAAATATGAAAGAAAAAAATCAAGTTGTAATCCTACAGATGTTAATATTACAAAGAAATAAATCAATCCAAACTTTAATTCACACAAATTAAATTCCATGACAAGATATGACAAATTATATAAATTACTAAATAACTTCCACCAAGGTGATGCTGTAAAACTATGATATGTACAGTGATAATCAAACATTTTTCTTAGAAATGAACATGAAAAGACCTTATCTTCATTATTTAATATGTCAAATGTATTCATAGCATGTAATATATACTTAAAACAGTTTTCAACTTTCGATATCTGTCTAATGCAAAAAATCAACCAACAATATATAAAGACATGTGATGGAAGACATTTAAACAGCCAAATTTTCATTTAATAACTAATCAAATAAAAGAGAAACTGCCTTTGTCTTTGCAGTTCATGCTCGCAATAATTTGCCAATGACATAAAATTGACATTAACACCAGGTCTACAACATTTAATTATCATAAATAGGATAACCTGTACTTGAACATCACAATGTTTCTTCCACTGGAACAAAGGCCTTAATTTTTATAGCGTGTGTTTTATCTTTCAGGACTCATATAAGGTAAATAAATTGACATTTGTTACTTGGAGCCAAGTAATAAAATATTGAATTGGAACCACTATTTCATGTTGCAACTGTATAAATACTGGCTGCGAACATCACTTTATTGGCTGCAAACAATTGGTGAGGTTAAGAACTGCTTTCATTCAGGTCTTTCAATGTTTAGATACAGGTTCTTTTTCGTGACTGCAAACTATTTTCTAAATGGCAGAAGATACGAGAAGCTGTATGTCAGAGCTCTGGAGCTTCCAATTTGAAAAAGAGAGCATTTTCTCCTATTTCTATAAGCTTATTGACACCAACACAAAGAATGTGACTCAGCTATGATTGACAGAATTCCGGGCAGCAAATTTTATCAGTTGGCCCTGCTTACTCAATGATACAATCGGAACATGAAATTCCGATTCTAGGTAATTGATTTGTCAGTTAAAATACCCTTTTCTTTTGGGAATGGTATTTTAAAATCACCACTAGAGGGATACTTAGCACCCTGCAGCAGGCCTAGTGATTGGTCAACCAGATCACGAGACATACTTGAAATCACTGGAAGATAAAGCCTGGCAGCCATTAGAGTCGGAAATCGCATTAAGGCTCTCGTGCATATTTGCTTTTAATCAGCTTAAAGAATAAGTGTCGAAGATTTTCCCACCCCTCCCGTCCCTCATATGGGCACTAGGCGCCTCTTACAATGGCATTATAATATTTATATGATTTGCGTACATGATGTTCACTCAGTATCAGATACCAACCATCATTTTGTGCTGCAAAGGAATTTTGAACAGCTGTGCCTAGTAATATGGCTATCTGTACCTTAAGTTTTGCAATTCATTCACATATTGACATACTGTGTTTAAGAAGGGAATTTTGATCAGCTGCGCTTAATAATATTTCTACATGTATCTTAAGTGTTGCTATTCATTCACATACATATTGATGTAATTTGTCTAAGTAGTTACTGTTGTTATAGTTATATAACTTATTAACATAGTATTAATAAACACTTATTCACTGCTAAAAACTACTGCAATTTTGGTTAAAAGGCACATCTTCATCATACTAGTATGCTTTAACAAGTTCTTCTCTGTTATCACGCTACACAGGACTTGACTCTTGACTCTCTCTCACAAGTTCTCCACAAATTCACTTCCAGCTGCTTATGAGAAAGTTACACAATTGGCTGTGCTGAGCATGTAACTTCCGTATAACTCTTACGCAAAAGCCAATTAAGCTATCAAGGTGCAAGCGTGAGACTTCTGTATGACTCTTGCGCAAAAAACAAGCTATCAAGATCTAGTGTGAGATTTCCATATAACTCTAACGTAAAAGACAAGCTATCAAGGTGCCAGCCTGGAACTTCCGTTTAACTCTTGCGCAAAAAACAAGCTATCAAGTTCTAGTGTGAAATTTCCATATAACTCTTACGTAAAAGACAAGCTAGCATGGTGTCAACGTGAGATTTCCGTAAAACTCTATGCAAAAGCCAAGTTAAGTCCTAGTGTGAGATTTCCATATAAATCTACCGTAAAAGGCAAGCTATCAAGGTGCCAACTTGGGACTTCCGAAGTAACTAAAAAAAAGTAGCTATCAAATTGCCAATCTCCTCCCCAAAATACCATACAGCTGCACTGCTAAGACATAAAGCTTCATGTGAGAAAGCCTTACATATGTTAATCTTAGCTAATCCAGAGGCAAGAACGTATAATTCAACAAGAACAGACCACTGCAATAACTTACCTCATTCAGTGCGAGTTGCCTCTCGCTAGCATTGAGGTCATGCATGTTAATCTCTTTCAATATAACTAAGGAATCATCATCTTTCTTACGGTACAATACTGCTGTACCATAGGCACCTAAAAATATCAAATCAGACGACTATTTTTATATCTGACACAATTCATTTATCATATCCTCTTTTAGAATAAAGAAATATGACAATATGTATAATGTAATTTTCTATTTTAAAAAATGTACTTCTGTCACATAATTATATACCTTTCCCAACAGTCCTGATTTTTTCAAATCCAGACAGACTCTGTTGCCCCCACTTTTTAAGTTTATCTAATCTAAAGTAGAGCTCTCCTACACAGGATCTGGAACAAAATATAAATAATATTCTAATCAAGCGTAAGAATTAAAATAATTAATAATGAAAAGTGAACTATTTGCTATCAATAATCTTATTATCACATCTAGGATGAATATTTACAGGGGCAGATCCAGAGTTATTTTCTGACAGTCTTCCAATTTATCTTTGTTGATCCATCCTCCATTTTTGACCGTCTTCCGACAGAAAAAAATTAGATACCCGCCAATGTAAACTTGAAAATCTGACCTTCTTCCGGAAGACCCAGAAGACGCCCTAAATCCGCCCCTGATTTAAGGGATTGGGAGCAACTAAGATCTAAGACAGTTCAGAAAAGTGAAATGTGCAGCAATCATGAGAAATCAAGAAATATTTACCAATTACAAAACTCACTTTAATAAACATGCAACAATCCTTTGGGCTTTAAGTAAAGTTAAGAATTTACCTTAATTTGATACAAAAATGCTCCACAGTTTTACACAACTGGGTTTAATTATTTATCAGATTAAAATTATGTGAAACTGCTCTGGCCAAGCTTACACTGGAGTTTCGGAATCCACAGCAATCCTTTCCATAGGTATATCATTACCACTAATGTCTTTGGAAATGCCAACTGGCACCTGAAAAATAGCACAAGGGTAGTTAAGTATGGTCAGTTTCAGAGGTCTCTGCAAACAAACCTCTCTATTCTCAGCATGCCACTGCCATTACTGGGAGGAACCCCCCTTCATAATATTTTCTACTTTAAATTTTTAAATAATTCTGTAGCTATTAAATGGCCATTTGTGCCAATGCTAGTTACTTACTTAATTTCCAACCAGTCAGAGAAGAATAAATGTTATTAATGTAAAATGAAGATGTTTGACTTGGAAAAAATAAACAGTTAGAAGTACAGAGCTCTTACCCCAACTAAATCTTCAATGATATTAGCAATGATTCCTCCATCTACATTCTGTGCAGTATTGCAGCCTAAAAAGTCCAGTCGAGAATTCACCCAGCTTTTGTCTAAATGGTTTGTTGACAGTGTTGTAAAAAATTCTCTTATGCTGGCATGCTCTAGTATATTCTCCTTTGTCACAAGCTGAAAAAAGGGGAATGCAATTAGCATGCTTTTCTCTTTTTCCCATAAACAATTTCCAAGTCTCCAAAATTCTTGAATCTTCAAGCATCATCTGCCAAAATGATCATTGGTAATTTTTTCAACTAGTTGTTTGAAAATATTTATCCCCACAAGATGAGAAATGGTTGATAGGCAGTCAATGAAAGGTTAATCTGAAGGACAGTAGTCCCTGCATCAGAGGACAAGCACTAGCTGACATATTGGTTGGAAACAAATATCCAATTCACAGAAATTCTAACTAAGACCCCATTCCCATCTCCGAAGGCTTTCTCGCTAAATTGCATTCAGTGTAAGCGGCTCTGATGATTGGCATGAAGCTGTAAGGGGGGAACGAACTATCATTTAGAAGCTTCAGTAGGCATGCCATACATCTAAGTCACTTAATCAGAATGCAATTTGGTGGGAATCCCCTTGGAGATGGGTCAATCCTGCTACATTGATCTAACCATGGGAATGGGGTCTAAGAGATTTTAAAATGACAATTTAACTTTCTTTAATTACTGACAAAACTGAAAACATACATATAAACAACTTTAATTTTCAACCAATCAGAGTAGAATTATTGCTTTAAACCCAAATTGAAAATTATTCCCTTTAAAAACATCTTATCATACTGTTACCTTTTCTTCTACCCCACAGAGATGAATACAGCGACCTGTGCTGTGCATGATAAGTGCTATACTTTCCACTTTTTTGGAACCAAGGCTCTGAGCAACTAAGCCTGAAATTGCAGATCAAATTTGAGAATATTTCTAATTAAATCAACACATTTCAGCACCACAAAAAATATGTTATTTACAAATATTAATTACTAACTTGAAGTTCTTTCAATAATCAGCATTAAGACATCCCAGAATTACATTAAAAATTTAGTACTGAAAAACATTACAGAAACATACTTAAACAACATATTCCATTTGGCATATATGTGTTAAACATAATTTGTTACACAAACCTACCTAAAATACTGTCAAGTGTTGAGTTTTCATACTTATATTGCACAATGGTAACATTAGGAAGTAGAGCACTCTGCATGAGAGAACTATTCTTCACTTTGCTGGACACAATGAGTAGTCGAGGAATTTGGGTATCGGACTTCGTTTCCTGACCAGCACCTGAAAAATAAACATTACATGAGATTGAACCTGTGTTCAATAGATTGGTAGTTAGATCATACAATCATAAGGTTACTGAACACAAGTTAGAATCTTCTTATCGTTGTTAGCTTACTTGTATGACAAACTGGGTTGGAGGCCTTCATAAGACTGATGTGACCAGGAGTAGATGTTCTCCCTCACTGACCACTAGCTGGTATAGTTTCTAAATACTAATATTTACAGTTATGACTCAATCTTTTCAATAAAATATGATCAGATACATAATATTAGATTTACAAAAATTATATTTCTATATATTTTGTGGTGCTTTTCTTGCACAGAATAGAACTATTATAATAGCCTGTTTTTTTAATTTTGTTGCTACCACTCAGTAGGAATGTTTTTATTTTAAGAAATTATGACTTAAAAAAATACAGTATCTGTACAGCTCACAATTTCCCTCCATAGAAAAGATTTCAAGATTTCAAAAAATATTTCATTATTTCAGTATTTCAAACGCTTTTTTATTTGTTTCTGATTCAGCTTCCTGACCAGCACCTGATAAATTAACTTTATATAACATTTTTAAAATAAAAAATTAATATTTCAACTTCTTGACCAGCACCTGTAAATATAATTTTATATAAAGTTTTTAAATACTAATATATTACTACTTTTTGGTATCTGATTTTGCTTCTTGGTTAATCAGGCCCCGACAAATAAATCTTATGATAAATCTTAGTTATATACTAGTACTAATATTTCAACTTCTTGACCAGGACCTGAAAGATGAATGTTACATAAGGTTTTTAACACTAATTATATCATTCCAATATGTTGTTTGAATTTAAGATTTTGTTGGCACTGTACAGTGTATGTCCTAGTTCTATATATCATACGAAATGGCACTGTTACGTCATCAATTTGTTTTTTTCTCTTACCATCATAAAAGGCTCCAGTCTGACATCTGTATCCTATACAGAATATGTTCATCCTGCACTAATCATCTTGACAATCAATATGTAAAATGTTCTATCAACCGAACCGAGAAAACAAACTGTAATTCTTAAATCAAATAGTTCTTCTCAAATACTAAGGGTTTCAAAGGCAACTCTCCTTGCACATGCTATGTGATACGTCATTCAGCAGCTTAACTTCAGTTTCTCTACCTCTACATATTAACACTTTTGCTTTTAGCATAACAAATTAGCATGATTTGTGCTACTAATGAGTTGAAATATAATACATATACAACACACTAATGAGCCAGCTGAGGTAGACAACCTTCTACCATATTATATACACATCTCCTCAATATACATTTCAATGTTGTGTTTTTTTTTAATTAAGTTTAAAAAAAAAAGAAAAATCTGCAAGGAGGCATTGTGTCTCTAATTAAAAGAAAGCCTGTGCAAAATGTTTTCATTCTTGGCAAATTGTAGAGCATATAACAACCTCGGAGGAAATGTACTTAGAAAGCTAGGTAACAAATAACTTGTTGCATACATTTATATGTTTGGGTGTTTGACATTAAATTTTTTCTGTATCAGTGATCACATTAATTGCCCATATCAATTTTTTATGCCTTATCACTTTTGTATTTAAAATATACACATTGATTATACACTTGTAATAATCAGTCTGTTTGTTTATTCAGGTTCTTCTTGTTGATTTTCACCAACGGAGACAGGCATTTGCAAAGTTTTGCTGCATGTTTATGCTGTTGTGCAGCACTTCACTGTTGCTGTATCTCTGTCTTTCCTATGTCTCTATATGTATCCTCTCTCATGAGACTTGTACCTCAGCAAACCCATTTATTTACAAAATTGCATAAGGCAAAGGATTGCACACAAACACTTAATATGAAAATATTAAAATTATCTGAGTTTATCCCCAATAAAAAAAAAGTTACATCAACAATTAATGGTTCAGTACACACAATCATTTTACAGTTCAAAGACTACTCTTCAAAATGACAAACACCAGCTAGTGTCCTATATCTTGAAAAAAAAGGCACCTATATTTTAAAGAAAAAAATCTAATTAATGCATTCTGAGTAGGCCATAATATGACCTTATGATTCTTCACCATCAAAATGCATAAGCATTAGAGTCACAAAGCAATGAGATGCTTGTTCCTGTGCTTTTGCAGACCCATAGCCAGAAAGTTTTCTGGGGCGGTTCATAATAACTGCCCTTTTTGTTGGGAAAAGATACGCTCTGTGTAAAAAATTTGACTAAGGTGCATGAAGGTTTCATGGCAAAAGAACCACTTTTCCAGAAAAAGGACCCTCCCTTTGGAGGTTCTAAAGTGACAATCACCTTAAATGAGTGACCTGAGAATGTCATATTGAGGTAACACACAATAGCAAGCCCTCAGCTACACACATCTTTGGAGCTTTTCAATTACTTGATCTTTTCAGTGGGGGGAAACTTGTGATCACTTTACACAAGAGTAATGACATACTGGGACGACACACGACCCCAGCTAACCTCTGGTGCATCCTAATAGTTATTCAAGGTCACTCCACAGGAATGTGAATATTTGGGTTGCATCAATGATGCTCTTGTTTTGTGTCATGTTTTTGCATAGTTTTGATTTGCCCTGTTATTGTCACTGTTTTATACTAATGTGCCTCCAGTATGGAACGAAATCAACAGTTATCAAAAAGTAAAGTAAAACAGTAATGCAAATATTACGCAAAATCTGTTCATCACTGATGTGACCAGAACATGCAATTATTTTTTGTAAAATGATCCTTTACTGATTAAATGCTGATACACACTGTGTCTATCGACAAAATCAAATGTAAGGTAGATAACAAAATCACTTTTGTATAGATGATACAATGTGCCTTTTGAGATGAAGCAGATCCGGTTATTCCGTTTTTACACAGGACAAAGGAGGGATTAGGGGCAATAAAAAATTTTCATAAATGTAATACATCAAGCAAAAATAGTGTTCTAAATCAGTAGCACACAGAAAAGATATTTTCTGATCAAATTTTTTTTTTTTTTTGTGGATACAACATTATATGGGTACAATATCGTAAAAAATAAAATACTTTATTTACTTATAGAGAGTATAATTGTTCACCTATCCTCCCCCAAAAAATATCAGCCAGTCCAAAAGAATGTGAAAAAAATAGTGACACAGTAAATTGAGCCAAGGCAATACATACAGGTACATCGTGACTTCTGTGGGATAAATTGCGAACAATAAACAGTGAACAACCAGGTGTTTTATCATGCAGGAAAAAGGTAAGTTTTTTAAAAAAAGTATATGCATATATAAACAGTACCAGTATGAGGAAAAAATTATATTTATATGTATAGATTATAAGGCTTTCCTCCAGCCGTCATTTGGACAGCCGCTGGCCTCAAAAGACAGCCTGAATGGCTTATGGAAATAATTGGCTAATGATAGTATAGTTGTAGATTTGTAAATCAGTGACAACACACCATTTAGAACTATTTTTATCATTATTATTTTAATAACTTAGAAGTGTTCAAAGTTCTCATATACTTTAACTAGAATTATTTGGAAAAAGGGTGTCACCTCGAAAAATGTGCTTAATTACAAGTCTGGTTCCTTTAAAGTAATAAGGCGAAATGCTAACACTAAAGAGTTGGCATTTTCAGGGGTCGAAGTGTTCAGGAAATCATACTTTCCATGCCAGGAAAAGTAATTTTGTAACTATATTACTTTCCCTGAAAAGAAATAAATTTCCCTGATAAAAAATCATTAAAACTGATCTCCCCGATTTTAAAATAGATTAATGATTTTATTATGATAATAAATTATAAAGAAAAGATACAATGTGACCTAGAAAATGTATATTTACTGTTATGAAGTAATAAATAATTGGAAGTATATAATGAGGCAGGTAATATGATCATCTTTATCTTGATGCTTTTCATATATAAGCAAATGGTGATGCTAGGAGACATTAGCAAGCAACGAAGATGATTTGTTTTCAAGATTTTTTATCCCAAATACTCGTAAAACGACTTGTCTGTCAGACAGTCCACCCTGCAACTTCTGATCCCATACAGTCGTTATTGTCGAGATCTGTACTTCTGTTTCAGTTCTTTGGAAAAGAAGCCACCAATGGTGATTTCCTCACAGGTTTTTGTATTTCCCAGAACTTTTCAACTATTTGACATAGATTTTCCGATCTGGTAATAGCTTTCCCATGGAAAACCAAGAAATCAACTTTTTGACCCTTGACTTAAAAAAAAACTCTTTGATGCCTCAGTCAATTTCATCTTATTTGAAGTTTTTTGGTGCAGAACATTTCATGTCACCTCATGTGATTTAACAGTGCTGTTGTTGAGCACAAGGCTTTCCACTTAAACACTAGAGAGTGGAAGACTACTGTAATTTTCTTAAATTGCACATGGCATTTGATGACAGAAACAGGAGTCCAATTATATTTAGGGGTACCTGGACCTGTGTAGTATAAGAAACAATTTAACAAAAATGAAAATATTAAATATTTAATTTCCACTGGGAAAAATAAGTGTGGCTCTCTCTCATCAAACGCACATAAAAAACAACATAATAACATTATATACACTAAAATAATTGTTATGCAAAGATGGTGGCAAGATTTTGCTTAAAAGGCCTACATTTGCTTAATAGGCCTAAGTCACAGACAGTCAAGTCAAACAAGAACCTCCTGTTGTTTTAATGCATTAACAGCACAGCAGTATAAGATTTCAATCTTTCAAAATTGAATAAATTAAATCAACTCAAACTATAATGAAGACGGTTATATGAATACACTTCTTGTATACAGCTTGCCCAAACATAAATACCCAGTAGGGGCTAGACTTTAATCTAAAAAGAAAAACACACGTCACCTCCTGCTCCTACTCCCCTAATCATTTTATTGACATTTTCAATTTCATACAAAATTCCTGCATACAAGCCAAATTGCTGATCTGGTTGGCAAGAATTCAAGGTTGACCCTATGATGGTACTCTAAACACAAAACAAAACAAGTCTACCTGAATGACACATAAGCATTGTACTACGTGAACTGCATATGCGTTCGCACAATTGTATTTTTTTCACTTCACTAAAATGAAATCTCATAACATTCATGAAGTCTTGACATGCAATATACTTGTTCTTCTATAGCACAGCAAATTCAATCAAATCATACGAGGACAAAATGTGCATATGTATCCGTTTCATATGAATCTGTTTCTAATGTTTCATTTACTATACGTCATGCCAATGAGCTACACACATGTACGCACGCACACGCACAAGCACACAGGTCATTGGTCAAGCAAAACAGCTTGTCCATCTGAGGGTTACGCTTAAATATAATCACTGATTTTTCTATGTCCTATCCACTGCTGCACTTAGAGAACTGTTACTGTGCACACTAAAAAAACTATCTCTCTCTCTCTCTCTCTCACACACACACACACACACACACACACACACACACACACACACACACACACACACACACACACACAGTTCAAATGTGACCTGTTCCGAAAAAATTAATCACTAAATTTTCGCACAATGTGTTTTATAGCAAAATATTAAATATTTACCTCAGACTCAAATCTCATTGAGGCAATTAGTGAGATATAAGCATGACCTCATAAGAGTTTAAGTATTAACACAATTTTGTCATGAAATGAAAAAATTGTTTAATTATATTTAGAATAATAAGAGTTCTTCTTATTGTTTAGTACAAATACTAGTAATATAAGACCTTTTACATTCATATCTCCACTTTTTTCACTTTCAAGTGCAGTTTCTAGAGATAAGAACTCCAACCAATCTTCATCTGAAATGACAACTTTTTAAACCTTGGCAGTCTGAAGGGCTGGCTATACTTCTTTTTGTCATATTTGAGACCCCTGTTAAGGTGTGTATAAAACATGTCTTAACACTACCATACCCTAGTCACTCGCACATGATTGAAACACCAGATTTTGCCTGTCTCATTAACTTGATATCCTTACACTCGGGAAAATCTCAACTAATTCCATATAAAACCACCTACTCAGTATGCTGGGATTATATTCTGACTTGCTCAGCAAGTGATCGCCAATCATGATTAAGGTGCATCTAGCAAGTATGAGAGCTGCCAGCTCATGGTATTTAATATACTTACCATCATCAATATGATAAAAATAATAATAATTTACCTGTATCAGAGACATCTACTGCCTCATCAACAATATGAATCTCTTGCACTGGAGTGGAAGCAGACGCGACACTGGCATCACCTTCCCCATCTTTTCCTTTAGCACCTCCCTCACTGGTAGCAACATCCTGATCCATGCTTGACATCTCTTCTCTTTTTTCTACACCTTGGTCATCTATGTTTTCTAACCTGCTGTTTGAAGTTCTGCTGTCAGTTTCTCCATGGCCACCGTCAGTTTGTTTGGCAACTCGAGACTGCAAAGGGCTGTGTTTGTCCAGATCATTGCTAGGTGTAATGGTGTCACTGTCAGATGGTATGGGGGACAACTCTCTGCTACTGCTGTTGTAACTGTTGTTAGGAAGACTGCTCATCTCTCTCTTGTAGAGATGGTTTTTAAATGCTACCTCCAATTATGATCCATTCTTACACTGAAATATGAGAAGAAAAACATAAGCTTGAAAAATCTGACAAAACTGGATAATTTGGAGTTGGTGCTAGTTACAACATGTGTTGTCCACTGTATCCAACATATAAGAGCGTAATTATATCGAGGCGCAGCTGAGATATAATTTGCTCTTGTATGTTGCATACAGTGGACAAAGAGTACTGTAGTTGTAACTGACTTATACCACAGCTGGCACTTCGGATAACAGAATGAACGCACCGAAGAGTACTAAAATACAGGCAAGCCTGTATGCAAAATACAAGTGCAATTATCCTATTGTTCGAATTGTCAGCTGTGGTATAAATCAATATACATGTACTATATATACCTAGAATGGACAGAGACCTTTTTCTATATATCTCTCTTGTTGAGAATGAGAAGCATTTCTCTTCTTGTCATCATACTCACTGATACGTCTTGAATTATTTATTAGTGTTTATTATGATCTGCCTAGTAAAGATGTGTGACAGTTACCTATATGGGTATATATATGTTCACAGCATGGGTGATTATATAGAACCTGCCATTGATCCCACTCTGCTGCTGTTGTAGGGGTGAGATAGTTACATTACGCCAGACAGTCAAATCGGATGTTTTCCCACACTGGCACAGGGGCTCATAGTTTAATTTTGAAAACTACTTTAGAAGCCCCTTATACTTCCATCCCAAAGTGACAATGCCAATTTAACTTAATTCAACTTGGTCCTTGACCCTAACAAAAACTAACGTTACAAATCTCAACGAAGTCTCAAATATGCTTTTTTGTGTTGCTCACAATACTTACGTCACCGTCCGCATAAAACATTTCACACAACTTTAAAGTATAACACGTGAACAATATTTGAATAAATGTAAACTCGATACCGATGCTTGACAACCACCTGCTTCCATCTTGTGTTGGTTACGTAGTAAAACAAGACTAGAATAGCGTTTCCTTTTAATTTGGAGAGGAAAACTGTCAACAGTGAATTTCCACGTCAATGATTTAAAATTTTCTTTGCCAAAACTACGAGTTTATTTACAAAGTATAAATATTATAATATTATTTATTCCACAGCAATTCCTTGTTTTAATAGCAACACTTCAGAAGTACGATTGAAATGTTTGTGCAGACGACCTGGCCTCGTCTCAGAGAGTGCGCAAGGACTACAGAACTCCCTAAACCACTCAGTTACACAACTATTTTACCAGATGGAAGTTAATTATCAACATACGTTTTATCAAAAAATTTAATTAATTAAAAGTTTATTGTAATTTTAATTAGGCCCCTATAATAAAAGTCACGGTTTTAATAAGACCGCCCATCTTCTTAAAACAGAAATTAATTTAGGAAACAGACCCGTAGAAATAACATATCTGAATAAGTACCTGGGCATTCACCCTCTTTGGAAAATTATCTAAGAGATGAAAAACCTCAAGGCCAATACCGCGTAATTTGCATTTGAAATCATATAATGCACGGCGTGTTAGACGTTATAGGCCTACTGTATCTTTACATACATAGCAAGATATAGGTATGTATTTATTTATTTATTTTTTTATTTATTTATTTATTTATTTAAATACTTATTGACAGATGAAGTAGAATGTACTTCTTTACAATCTAGCTATATTTTTAGAAACAATCAACGGAAATAAACTGCGTTTTAAGAGGCCTCTAGCTCAGTTTGATGGAATGAAAGCTAGGTCAACTCGTCAACAATTTTTGACCAAAATTCTTTCACAGATTCCCCTCTCTCTTTATAAATCACCTGTTTGCATCGTAAGTTGACTTTTTACAGCCACCCCCCCCCCTACCCCAAATAAAAATAGTTGTAGGCGTAGAGGGCACTTGTGTATTTAGTAGGCCTATCGTTTACATTTTAATTGACACCAGAAAGCGTTTTTCAAGACCATAAATTTGTGAATGCCAGCCTGTTTTAGCAGGTTACTATACCAGACAACATGTAGGCTACTTCTGATAAAACCACTAATTTGAACCTCGTCTTCTTATACATATATGGTGAGAAACGCGTTCCCGTTAATTACGTGAAATCCCACAGGGTGCGATTAAGCACGTACAGGTGTAAAGACGTCGTACCTCGATGAGAAAAAGTTTCACAAAACGCGCTTTGCGCGCATGTGCAGTCGTTTGGCACGATACAGCGGACCCTGTGGTCACTGTGTAGTGAGTGTGCGATAATCGCAGGAGCCAACAAGTGGTGTCGCTCAAAATAGCCTACTTGCGCAATGTCTGATATTCCAACTTCACTGTAAGACCACACAAACCAAAGTGCAAGTCACAAACAGGGACAAACCAGATAGCTGAGCAAAGCTGTGTGTGCACGTTGCGAGACTTGCAAGACTTACATTTTAAACAATGGGTAAATATGTTTCAGATATTAATCACGCTTTAGTCGGTGTAGTTAATTATAATCTGCACTAATTGAAGTTGTGGCTGTATAGTTAACTGGTGTAACGTGACAGAATCCCACTTGTTGCACAGGGTCGGAAAGCTTTGTGGTTAGAGTGCTCGCCTCTGGAGCAGGAGGATGTGGGTTTGACCCTGTCCGGGGACATACCATGCAGCCCAAATAAACGGTACCTGCTGTCTCCCCCGCTTGGCACTCGGCACTAAGCGGTTGAAGCAGCTAGCAGGCCTTGTCTGGTAGTGGAGAAATGGTGCGTTTGCTAGCTTTGAGCGTCTGTGTATCTTCCTCAGGGAAGCGAGAGCGATAACTATACCTATTGCGCAACTGAGCCAAAATGACCAGGCTTCCTTTGAATTGTGAATTAAATAAATGTAACATCAATTATTAACTGTGGTGGTTGCAATATCTCAATAAAGATTACTATTATTTATATTATTCTTATATTGTTGTTATTATTATTCATTTGTACAGGTAAGCCCCACCCCACCCCCTCTAGAATTTGACCCACTTAATGTCATACTAACCCTAACCATTATAACTAAATGGAGGACAGACTTTCTGTTACAGTAAACCTCAGTATTGTTATACTGGTACTATGGCATCAACTTTGGGATATGGTTTATATCTGTTTAAAGATAATATGAGAGCTGAGTCCATCACAGAGGTGAACATTTGCTGTACATAATATCATTGGTCAAAGTTTTAACTTCTTGTCAAAACACACCATGGAAATATTTAACCCCCGACAGAATAAGCTTCCGCTATCAAAATTACGTCTACTTTTCTAAATTAATATATAAGTTTGCAAGTTCTTATTTACAAAACATCACTGGCTATGTTCCAACCTAAATTTTATGTGATAGATACAATACGAGTTGCCGAGCTGTACGTGAAATATAACGAATGTATTGGCGAGCCGCAGGTGAGACAATACACGAATAATTTCACGTACAGCTTGGCGACGAGTGTTGTATCTGGCTTAAACCACGGCCTCTGATTGGCTACTACACTAGTAGTGCAACAGACCGTGGAACGCACTCGTACATGACGTGTTTGTATGTCGAATACAGCACGGCCGAGTCTTTTGTTCTACGCGCTAGCCGTGGTTTAAGTTTAAAAATTGCGGTATTGTCAGATTTTTAGCATAAACAGGGAAATTGCAGCAGCGCATGAATCTAGATGAGATGCACTACTTTCCAACCCCGCTTAGGATCATCTGATATACCGGTTTATTCTGGATCTGTAGGTGCCGAGTCTGGTAGTTGGGTAGGCCTGAAACTATAGAATATTCCCAGAAATTTCAGCAGTTTTCCGTTTATCACCACTCAAATTACACTCTTCATGTATGTTTTGTGTTTGTTTAATGTCAGCAGAAACAAATATACCTAGAAATGTAGATGTAGCTGAAACCAAGTGGGCTTTAAGAGTGGATGTCATTGCGACAGAACCACATTTAAAAGCTACACTTAAATGGATTTTTTTAAAGAGAGATTGCGACTTTTAAGATTCCTTGTGAAATGCATCTAAGTGAAGGTTCCTAGCATTCTTTATTTTGAGCAATGTCAAATATTAGTTATTTAGAAAATATTAGGTATTCAGAAAATGCCCCTATAAAATTTCTGTCAGTGAGTTATGTACCCGTTACAAGTAATAAAGCAAGCACATTTGAAATTCAGATAGATGGATATTAGTTTCCATGACTCTGAAAAATTATTCAGTCCACACTCAGAATGTTTAATACAGGACCATGTGTTTACATTGTTAGATTTGTATTTATTACCTCCTATGCATGTTTTACTTCACATAAGCTGTTGTGATACATATAGGGATGTAAATTGATTTGTTAGTATCTAGGCAATATTCATATGTGTGAAAACCATGCCACAGACACCCTTAAATAATGTTTTCCATTTTATATAGAGGTGTATAGATGTCCTTATGTTAAAACACAAAATTGTGAGCAAAACATCTTATTAAATTCTCTAACTTCATGTATAAGCAAACAGCTGTTCCATTTCCATCAATTTAATGGATATAAGCAACCCAGTGTTGGATGTTACTGTGATGATGATCGTGGCTAGGCCAAACAAAACTGCCAATTTGGTTAACAAGCCCAACTGACTTTAATTTTACAGAAATATATTTTCTTTATAGAAAAAAGGCACAGTGAGTATTGCCTTGGTAAGTGGGGAAAATTTAACACAGTTCCGAGGAAAAACCTAGTTAATGCTGTTGTTTTTATGCCCAAACAATTTGCCCACATTGCTTGATTTGAAATCTCCTCTGCTTAGTGTAAAATACAGATATTATTCAGATTTTATTCAAATATCTATAGATATTATTCAGATATTATTCAAATTTTAAAAAAATACTGACAGAAATTTAATTAGTGCTATGCTCATTAAACATCAGTGTGTTTAAAAGACAAAAAAAGAATTTTGTTGCATGCCCACACAAAGCCCCCACTTGCTAACTAACTTATCAATTTTGTCTGCACCTCTTCAACCTTATATATCTTATCTAAAGACTTAACTAAATATACATTTGATGCTGATATTTACATAAACAAGTGGGGAGAAATTTTTCCAGCACCCCCTTTTGTAGTGTTAAATGAAATGCATTAAAGAATTGTCAATTTTTTTTTCTTCTAGAGCTGTTGACAATAATTCTTCAAATGCATGTATATTATTGGCAGGAAATGGTCTGACTTCAGTGTCCTGATCAATGACATGCTCAGTATATGTACAGTATATAAAGGTTATTGCCCTCAGCATCACGCCTCCTGTGCTCTGGTTTCATCATTTTTAGATCTCTTTTTTTATCTAAATTAATATTTATCAAGCCTTGACCTTTGCTGTCACCTGATGCAAGGTTGTCACATTATTAGTACCACCAGTTTTAGCATATGGGCAGCACTCCTGAACATTAGTTTTATTTCAATTGGCTATCCATAATTTCCGTTTTGCTATGGACTTTTTCCCATTGGATGGTTATAAATACACTTTGAAGTTGGAAGAGTGTGATGTATAGGGAATAATCCGGGTCTCGCTCACAGTGCGTGCCAATGCGTGCCAGAATATTCCGGGCTCAGCACTACTAGGGTTAGGTTAGAAAGCTTCGACCGGCTTCCACTGGTTTTAACTGGTTCCATGTCATGTTGGCAGATACAAGTCGCTTACCCCTTTCTTCCTAGACTACTAGGGCCTGTGTACCCATGTTGTGGATTTATGTCCCATATAATTACAACTTGATCCCACTAGACTTTTGGCTCTGTCTGTGCCTATGCCTAGGTGTTATGCTCATTGCAGTGCACCCTTACAATTTTTTAAAATATTAGATTCTGACCATCCCCCAAATTGTTTAAAGGAATAATGGGAAAAGTTACTATAGAAGTCTGACTCTAGTTACCAAAGTTTTTTTTTCTTTTTTTTTTTAAATAAATATGCAGCAAGTAAAAATAAAACCAAAATTGAAAAACTAAAAATCAAAAAGGATACAGCTGTGGTAATGCCAACAGTTCAAATAAATTACAACAAACTGAAGCCAGTAAGATTGTTATTGTAACTTATCAGGGCCACAGAATTAAGAAGACAAATTTTCAACGGGCATAATCCTTTATTTCTCCTAAATGCCAGACACTGCAGTGAACTAAAAACAAAAAACAAATTACAACTCATTGCTTAGCATACAAATTAACTCGTACTTTAAACACCTTTTCTGCTACTATCTATAGATACTATTCAGAGCTATGAAATATTTTACCTTCCAAATTGAACTGAAATGCATTACCACAAGATCATTTCAAGAATTCTTGTTTAAATTACTATGTTTGACCATGTACATCAATAAAACATGGTTAACAAATGTATTTAATAAATTATATACATAACTAGAAAAGCACTCAGAGAGCACAGACCTCCGCCAAGGTAGCAAAGTCTCCATCCAATGCCGTTTCACCCCTAAATTTTCGATATTTTTGTTTATTGATTGATTATTGATCCGGATAACCACAAAAAGCTAATCATCTGTTCCTTGGCCCACTTCTGACAGTTCCTGAAAATTTCATCAAAATCGGTCCGTAACTTTTTGAGTTATGTCGATAACAGACAGACAAACAAACAAACAAACGGGATGAAAACATAACCTCCTTGGCGGGGGTAAATATTTCACCCACCATTATATGCTTCTTTCCAATAAATTCTGCCACTATTATTGTGAGACTTACTGAAGACTGACCTAGACTGTCCCACTGCACACACTGAAGGGTGTGCACCCAAAAAAGTGTTCAATTATGAAATAAGGTGCAGTGGATGTACATGGTCAGCACACCCACTGCAATACTGACCACTTTGTTCTTACAGTTAAAGGTGATAAAATCTGATGAGAAATATGTGCATATTTAAAATCTATGTTACCTGAGACTGCCAAGCTTTAGAAATTATATTTCCCAAATTCAATATGCTGATCATTGTGTCAACGTATTATTATTCTTATCATTATATTTAATATCTGATATTTTAACATATTTATTATGAATTGTAATTGATTGAAAATTAAAGTTGAATATTAAAAAATTGATATTTTATGGTACTGTTAATTTGGCAGCCCAAATTATAAGAAAGAAAAAAACATATCCAGCTTTACCTTTCACTTATTCATATTGCAGCCTGTCAAGAAGTAGGTCCAGGGTATAAAAGCCCCCTTGATGCAATGAGGAATGCTCCGCGGGAAAAGATTGTCTATGTGCCTTGCATTCGTAGAAACACCGCAACAACTGGACCCGATTATTTGGCCACTGTGGATATTGATCCTCATTCAAAGAATTACTGCAAAGTAAGTGCTAACCCTAATTTGGATAGCTTTTCTGGGTTATGGTGCATGTACCACCCTATTGTATGTTTAAATGTATATATATTCTCTTTAGTATAGTTATAGCTTTTACAGAAATTGGGTTTGAACCAGAAAAACAGAGCAAAATTATTATTATTAATATCATTCTTATTATTGGTAATAACTGTAGTTAAATCTTTGTTTGAATTTTTAAAGGCACTTTACACAACTTTGGTACATTGTATTATTTATTGAACCTGCAGGTTATCCATCGCCTGGACATGCCCTACTTAGGAGATGAGCTTCATCACACTGGCTGGAATGCCTGTTCAAGCTGCTATGATGATCCCACGAAGAAACGAAATCGCCTGGTTATGCCTTCTTTGATGAGCACTCGCATTTACATTGTTGACACTGACACTGATCCTGTTCAACCCAAAATTTACAAGGTATTCTTTCTTGTTTGCTTTTAAAAACTTTAAACCCTTTTAAGCCTGTAAAGTGCGCATGCTTTATTTGATTGCAGTTCAGTTTTATAAAATTTTGTTTGGTTTTGTCAGCATGAAGTTTCATTTCGCTGCAGTGTAGTATTTTTTTGCCTGCATTGAAGTTAGTTACATTTAAGTAACATCATTTGCTAAAGGTACCATCTAACAACCAGAGGCCCTTCTAGACGTTCTGGCAATTTCAAAAGTGGTTGAGGGACCTCTTTGGGATTGGGGATGATTTAGCAGAACACACTCCTTGCCAGACACACCCTCTGTATTGCAGAGTAGGAATGTTTTCACAACCATGTGTCAATTGTGAATTATTCTAGTTAATTATTAACAGATTTCCCACAACCTTCACCCATTATTCATATAAGTCATTTGGACAGTTGATTTACTCTTTGGGATCTTTTTGCTATATTTACTTGTTAAGATATGTTACTCAGATCTTGTTTCAACCCCATATTTGTTGGAAAGGGTTAAAATTCCTTTGATTTGATAATTTATGTTTTGGCAATAAAATAAAAATATATAAAGAGCTGTAGAAGAATACTAAGTCTTTGTCACCACTGCCTTTGTTAGCAGTATGTCTCCAGGTACTGAAATGCCTGGTCTCAACACTGCACAGAAGCCACCATTCTTATAGTTGTGTATATCTATTGGGGATTCTGTATTGCTCTCAAGATAAGGTCCAGCTTTAGCTGAGTGATAACAGCCAACCCAGCCTGCTCTGCTGCTGTGATTTTTGGTTTAGGGGCAGGGAAGCCACTTTAGAGTTGGCATACTTGATCATCTCAAATCTCACAGAAGTCCTTCGATCGCTTTTGGTTTTAGAAGTGTTAGAAAAGCTAGAAGAAAATGATGGTTTGTTTTAAACATATGATTTATAGATTGTGGAACCTGAAGAGGTTTACCAAAAGACTGGTCTTGGCAATCCCCACACTGCCCATTGTTTGGCTAATGGTCAAGTTATGATAAGCTGTTTGGGAGATCCAAAAGGAAATGCCAAAGGTTTGTTACAAAAGCTATGTCTTCTAAGTTAATAAACAACATGGCTTTTCTGGCAGATGCATTGGACTGCAGTGCTAAAATTTCCAGTGGTGTTCAGTATAAATCATATTGTCTAATTTCTTTTCTTTCTAGTGTAAAGTGTATAGTTCAGATTGTGTTAGCTTTGAAGCCATTATTTCCTTTGTTGCATAACCATAGATNTTATAAGAAAGAAAAAAACATATCCAGCTTTACCTTTCACTTATTCATATTGCAGCCTGTCAAGAAGTAGGTCCAGGGTATAAAAGCCCCCTTGATGCAATGAGGAATGCTCCGCGGGAAAAGATTGTCTATGTGCCTTGCATTCGTAGAAACACCGCAACAACTGGACCCGATTATTTGGCCACTGTGGATATTGATCCTCATTCAAAGAATTACTGCAAAGTAAGTGCTAACCCTAATTTGGATAGCTTTTCTGGGTTATGGTGCATGTACCACCCTATTGTATGTTTAAATGTATATATATTCTCTTTAGTATAGTTATAGCTTTTACAGAAATTGGGTTTGAACCAGAAAAACAGAGCAAAATTATTATTATTAATATCATTCTTATTATTGGTAATAACTGTAGTTAAATCTTTGTTTGAATTTTTAAAGGCACTTTACACAACTTTGGTACATTGTATTATTTATTGAACCTGCAGGTTATCCATCGCCTGGACATGCCCTACTTAGGAGATGAGCTTCATCACACTGGCTGGAATGCCTGTTCAAGCTGCTATGATGATCCCACGAAGAAACGAAATCGCCTGGTTATGCCTTCTTTGATGAGCACTCGCATTTACATTGTTGACACTGACACTGATCCTGTTCAACCCAAAATTTACAAGGTATTCTTTCTTGTTTGCTTTTAAAAACTTAAAACCCTTTTAAGCCTGTAAAGTGCGCATGCTTTATTTGATTGCAGTTCAGTTTTATAAAATTTTGTTTGGTTTTGTCAGCATGAAGTTTCATTTCGCTGCAGTGTAGTATTTTTTTGCCTGCATTGAAGTTAGTTACATTTAAGTAACATCATTTGCTAAAGGTACCATCTAACAACCAGAGGCCCTTCTAGACGTTCTGGCAATTTCAAAAGTGGTTGAGGGACCTCTTTGTGATTGGGGATGATTTAGCAGAACACGCTCCTTGCCAGACACACCCTCTGTATTGCAGAGTAGGAATGTTTTCACAACCGTGTGTCAATTGTGAATTATGCTAGTTAATTATTAACAGATTTCCCACAACCTTCATCCAGCAGACAAATGACATTGATTCACCGTTGAATCAACGTTAATTTTGGTGGATCAACGTTGAATCAACGTAGAATCTGGGCACCCATTATTCATGTAAGTCATTTGGACAGTTGATTTACTCTTTGGGATTGTTTTGCTATATTTACTTGTTAAGATGTGTTACTCAGATCTTGTTTCAACCCCATATTTGTCGGAAAGGGTTAAAATTCCTTTGGTTTGATAATTTACATTTTGGCAATAAAATAAAGAGCTTTAGAAGAATACTAAGTCTTTGTCATCACTGCCTTTGTTAGCAGTATGCCTCCGGGTATACAGAAATGCCTGCATGGTCTCAACACGGCACAGAAGCCACCATTCTTATACTAATAGTTGTGTATATCCATTGGGGATTCTGTATTGCTCTCAAGATAAGGTCCAGCTTTAGCTGAGTGATAACAACCAACCCAGCCTTCTCTGCTGCTGTGATTTTTGGTTTAGGGGCAGGGAAGCCACATGAGAGTTGACATACTTGATCATCTCAAATCCCACAAAAGTCCTTCAATCGCTTTTGGTTTTAGAAGTGTTAGAAAAGCTAGAAGAAAATGATGGTTTGTTTTAAACATATGATTTATAGATTGTGGAACCCGAAGAGGTTTACCAAAAGACTGGTCTTGGAAATCCCCACACTGCCCATTGTTTGGCCAATGGTCAAGTTATGATAAGCTGTTTGGGAGATCCAAAAGGAAATGCCAAAGGTTTGTTACAAAAGCTGTCTTCTAAGTTAATAAACAGCATGGCTTTTCTGGCAGATGCATTGGACTGCAGTGCTAAAATTTCCAGTGGTGTTCAGTATAAATCATATTGTCTAATTTCTTTTCTTTCTAGTGTAAAGTGTATAGTTCAGATTGTGTTAGCTTTGAAGCCATTATTTCCTTTGTTGCATAACCATAGATGTTGTTGATAAGGCTATTTGATTTCGAGCAAATCAGATTTTGGAGAGATTTGGGTTGATTTACTAATATCAGAGAGAACACATGTTGTTTTGTAGACCTCATTGAAGTGATATCATCCCAGTTGCAGGTTGGTATCACTTTTCTGAGGTCTGCAAAACAACATATTGACGTATGAGTCTATAATTGCATGTTTTAGTATATTATCTAATACTTAAATGTCAGTGTTCTTCAAAATAACATTGAAAGATGCTTTTATTTGACATTGTCATTCTCTGATTAATAAATTGATTCATTTTCTTTCAGCTGGTGGTCAAAAAATTGTTGATGTCATTGTTCAATATTATGTTTGATGATGACATTGGCCAATTTGTTTTTACCAGACGTCATATCCTTGGATATAAGATCAAAATCCATGCTGATTTTATAATATATGATAATAAAAGAATATAATGTTTCTTTTTCGTGTTCATTGAAAATGTTTCAGGTGGCTTTGTCATCTTGGATGGATGTTGTGATTTTGCTGTACAGGGGAACTGGGAAAAGCCTGGAAACACCACTGAATTTGGCTACGACTTCTGGTATCAGCCAAAATTTAATGTTATGATCAGCAGCCAGTGGGGAACTCCTAAAGTACTGATGAATGGATTTAATCCAGAAGATTATGAGAAGGGTAAGGTTAGACATGTAAAAGGAACAGAAAAATGCTTCAAAACAGGTCTACCTCACTACCAGACAGCTGTAAAGCTGTTTCCACACAATGTTACCAAGGCACGAGCAAAAGAATAAAATGAGTCATTGTCTGAAGTGGTTTATATACATTACTGGGAATCCATGCTCTCTATATACAATAGAAATCTATTACAGTTATCAGAGGAAAATGTTTTTAAGAGTTAACAGGATCTTATAACTGCTGATATTAAATCAAAAGTGTCACCAAGCAACAGACAGTAGATCGAGATTGGTGGGCTTTTCTTTTTTATGGGCCTGTGCCTCAAAGTTTCTGTCATTTTAACCATTTAGTATATCACCAAAATGAGACATAATGAAACAAAACCAGCATGTCACTAGCCCCTGATGTAATCACATGGTCAGAAATAAAATTAGGAAAAATATGTAAAAAAGATCTGAATTAACAAATGATTTACAATGTTGCCTCGTATATAAATACATATATATATGCATTTCCCCACTTCTTGACAAGGTCATTATGGTCACAGTATTAATGTATGGGATTGGGATAATCACATTCTCAAGCAGACTATTGACCTGGGGAAGGTTGAAGGGGCCATACCCTTGGAAGTGCGCTTCATGCACAACCCAGACAGACCAGAGGGCTTCGTTGGATGTGCCTTAAGCACTAATGTGTTCCGTTTCTACAGGACTGAGGTAATTTTCAGCTACCTGATTTTCTGTGTGTTTTTTTTTTTTTTTTTTTTTTTTTTTTCACATTTGATTGAAATTGGCTTTGCGATGTGAGAAAAAGTGTTAGTCATTTAGTGATACTAGTAATCTGTTTCTGGTAATTTAGATTTACACTTCTGTAAGCTACTTTTATGATCCAACTAATAGATGAGTGGTTGATAAACAACCGCTTCTCTTGTTCAGGTCAGAAGTGATCAAAATGCACATTAAATGACTGTAATCATGATCAATTTATTCATTTTTAGGCCCCAGAAATGATGTTCTTCTTTAGCACAACCTTTTTTTCTTTCTTTATTATGTCCCCATTTTAGAGAGGAGATTGGGCTGCAGAAAAAGTAATTGATGTCCCATCTAAGAAGGTTCAGGGTTGGGCGCTGCCTGAGATGCCAGGTTTGATCACAGATATCCTCCTGTCCATGGATGACCGCTTCTTGTACTTCAGCAACTGGTTGCATGGAGACATTCGTCAGTATGATGTCACGGACACCAGGAACCCAAAACTGGTCGGACAGGTACTTTTTACACACACACACACACGCACACACACACAGTTACAAATCAAATGTCTTCATACATAGCAAGTGCCACACATCATTTGAAATCTAGATAACTTCTTTCTTTTCATCTGATAGGTGTGGCTGAATGGAAGTATCTGTAAGGATGGGCCAGTCAAAGTTTTAGAGGACAAAGAATTGAAGGTAGGTATAAAACTGAAGTTCGAAGTGTTCATGGAAACGTTATAGTAACGGCATGTTTCAAAGTATAAAAATTGATGGCACAACAAAATTTGTGAAAGCTTTTTCTGACACCTTTCAGCCTTTATATAAAGCCTTTGCATCCTGAAGTATGACATTGATAACGTTATTTTATAGTCCTTGCAAAAAGCTTTTACAACTTTGGTGATGAGCATCAGTTTCAATACTTTGAAATGTGAACGGAAACTAACGTGATGCATATGTAAATGACATTTGTCATGTTCACAGAAACTGAAAGATTTGATTTCACGCAGATACAGTGTTTGGAGTAATGACAGAAAAAGCTTGCTGAAAATTGCCATTTAGAGTATAATATGTACACATTGTGTCTGCACCTGTAACCTAGCTTTCCTGGTTTAGTTCTTATAGGCACTCACAATGCAGTGGGTCCACAAAAAAACAGGGGTGCAAGAAAAATCTAACCCTGCTACAAGAAAGTAAAAGAAAGATACTCAATATTTGACCAAGTCCCCCCGCCCACCCCAAGCTATGCTGGTTTCTTTTTTCCTCTTTTTCTAAATTCTAACCTAAAAAAAATTCTATATTTTGTTGTGATTTCTGTGCACAGGAGCAGCCAGAGCCTCTCTACATGAATGGAAAGCGCGTGCATGGTGCACCCCAAATGATCCAACTCAGCCTGGATGGAAAACGACTGTATGTCACTACTTCACTGTACAGTGGATGGGATAAGCAGTTTTATCCAGATATGGTTGAGTAAGTTTTATTTATATTTTAAGAATTTGAGAGTTTTCTTTGAGGAATTGATTTATGAATTGGATTTTTTTTTCTTAATTTTACTGAATTGTTTGTACTTGTGTGAAAGGGCTGATGTGACAGCACTACTGATAGTAGCATCACAACATCAAAATTAGTTTGAATAAGTCTATCATGGTCTCATTCATGGATTTATATTACAGTTCACATATGATAATTATAAAACACAAGCAGAAATATTTTCATACCCTTAGTTTATGGACATAAGCCTTCATCAGAATGATGTGAATAGATGTTGTTACTCACTGACAGCAGGCCACCCATGAATAGGGATGAAGGTGTCGAACTACCTGACATTTATCAGAGGGTCCTGGCCGCTATAACACCTAGCGGTCAGTAAGTACTCACATCAGTCTGATGAAGGCCTAGTCCAGGTTGTTTGTTAGCTAACGATACAAAAGTATTTCAGCTTATGTTTTATAATTGTCATATATGATCTAAGTACCAAGCTAATAAACATTTTTGCTCATTTATATGATGGTTATTAAGTGGATATATTTCACCACTTTTATAATGTTAGAATTTTCCTGCAGGCATGGTTCCAAGATGCTTCAAATTGATGTTGACACAGAAAAAGGTGGACTGACCCTCAACAGAGCATTCCTGGTGGATTTTGGGCAAGAACCTGGAGGCCCATCCCTGGCCCATGAAATCCGCTATCCTGGTGGCGATTGTACATCTGACATCTATTTGTCCACCACTATGGGCAAACTGTAAATGAGGTGCATCTGGCAAGGTGCATACTTAATATAAGGATCCCATGTGTCAGATTTCTGTGGACTTATAGCTTGCATTTTTATTTTTAAAGGAATTTCAATTGAATTTTATCAGTCACGTAACAAAATTCGTTATTTGCCAAAATCAAGAAAAATGTTCTTAAAAATATAATTCTTAAAAATTCTAATCAGAGGGGATTATGTGGTATTATGCAGATGTGAACTAAGAATATACATTAGTCTGAGATATATTTTGCACAAGATTACTAAGAATGCATATATAAATGTCATATATAATTTTATAAGATACTGGTACAATGGGAATCAACTGACATAGCCTAAAATGAAACATTTATCACTGTGTGATTTCATACAAGACTATATTAAGTCTGAGAATCCATGTGAGTTGGGGTTTTAACTCTTTACCAATAAGTGTCTCTCTGCTTCACGAGTCCTTCTAGAAAGTAATACAGAAGAGACATCAGCAACATGGTGAATTCATATCTTTACGCAATAGACTAGAATTTGACAGAACCAGAGAGTAATCAATATATATATATATATATATATATATATACATATATACATATATATACAAATTTTGCCAGCTTTTGCATGTTGCCATATATCACAATCAAAAGAGTACAGTTATTTTTGCCCACACTCTCCTCTAAATCCTGCAAAAGCTCACTCAATTTTATGCTAAGTTGCAAGACTTTGGGCCATCTCAGATTATTTCTATTGATTGAAACATGATGACAGCAAGACACTGGAAACTATTTTTAGGGTAATATTTTTTGGTGAAGGTCGAGTGGCATCAGATCCAAAGATTCTACAAGCTATTCACAACTTTGCCATTAGCTCTCACGGTTCTTATACTTGTAGCATAGGCAACTATTGTTCCCATTACGCATAAAAAAGATTTAAAGAATTTATATAAAAGAGATATTTTAGATTGTATATTTTTTGCCAAATATTTGCTTTGCTTCCTTTTGGTGTGTGGATGGAGGAATATAATTAAAAATAATTATGCATAGAAAAAAAACTGAATTGGATACTTTATTGGAATTATTAATGGCCAAATGTATGTACTATTTCAGAAGTACTTATAGTATATTCTATTGATATTATTGAAGTGATTAGCCAGTTTTAACTACCCAGAGCAATATTGGAAATTTAAATGCCGTCAGTCATAATTTAGACGCACCCTTTCATACCAATTGTTCAAAGATCACAATAAATCTATATACATGTCGAATTAAATTACTTATGTCTTACTGTTATGAAGTTGAAAGAAATCTTTTACACGCAGGCACTGCACATGGAAGTCTAAGAATTCAATTATGTATTAAAGGTGCTTTCTACAGGATTTTCTGGATACAAAATGGTTTTTAGAAAACTACTAAACTTGACTCAAATTTATTTTAGACACCTGAAAAATCAAATACAGGTCATTGCAGAAGAAGGAACATTAGGTTTTCATTTCACAGTGCAATTACATGTATACATTAACTATTGGGTTATTATAAAGTCCTGTAAAAAAAATTGGGAACAATCTAAAATATTTCTTTCCAAAGCAAAAAAAAAAAAAGTCAAGTTGCAGGATTCTACCCTGGAACTCGCTTCATCGGTCTGGTGATGTGGCTGCTGAACATTGGACTATTTATTTATTTATTACTAAAACCACCTTAAAAGATGAGTAAAAAAAATTAATATATGTCTAAAATAATACAATAAAAACAGTAATTAAAACGATTTTAAGAGCAGTCCCGCCAGCACATATTCTTTTGAGAGTCTGTTCTGATAGCTGGGGCTGTTTACCAAAAATCTCAGCGTATCAACCAGTCCTGCCGGTGCATGCAGGTCCGGGCCAGCATTCCGGATCCCCGACCCACTCAGACATAAGATCGGATTCATACCGTAGGAAACAATCCTCTGGAGCAACGACCCCTGCACTATGGAACGATTAAGCATAAAATGAGACAGCTGATGAATGGTTGACAGTTGGCTGTCAATAACGTCTTTTTGCTCAAAGCAAGAATCGATGCCATTGGTTCATCACTTAAAGAGCTAACCCTCTTTTTTTATTTCTCACCCTGATCAAACATGTATCCTGGAATCCCTTAATATGGATCATTTGACGAGTAAACAACAAGCACAACTACTTTTTAGTAATCATCTTTATTGGATGTTATTTTTAACCACTAAGTGACACACAACAAAACAAAAAGTGAATTAGTGATATTTATGAATTGAAACTTTTCTGATTCAATTACCTAGAACAATTTAGAGGCTGAGGAATAGTTTTTGTACTACAGAATGTAATAATTTATTCTTATTTAGGAGTGTTCAGTTTCATGTCAATTTTTTCTCCATTCAAATAGCTTGAAGTGTTAAAACAATCTTCCACCTCAAAGGTGCGATAGAATGTTTGTAAACTGTGCTGTAATCCATCACATGTACATCTTCAATCAATCTGTAAGATCTGAAAAGACGAAAGGCATATTTCAAGAAACTATACTGACAGTAGGTAATAAGCGGGAATGAGAAAGTGCCATGTTCTTTCATATCTACTACCCTCTACCAGGGCCACAGATTTACTTTTCACAGGATATTCAAAGATATGTCTTAAGATAAATAGACAGTCATTTTACTATCTCTGACCCTGTAATGAAATCTCTAGGTTGATTACATGGCTGGTAATTGTTTGCATTACTGCTCAGGCACTGGCATTTAACAGACCCAGGCTAAGTCCCTTTGACAGCAATCAAGACAGTTAATTGCTGATTTAAATCACTTGCTCTTTTGTGACAGATAAAAAAAGCCCTTTCTGAAACGCTTGTTAGTACATTTTGAAGTTAAATGAGGAATCTCCTTAGTAGCTCCCTAAATAGCTGGTACAATGCCACATGAGCGCGGGCAGATTCAACTGCTTCCAACTGGCCAAAAGTCACAGGGTGGATTTTCCCATTTTTCCCTATATAATCTGCCACCCTGGTAGAGGGAACATATCTACTACGTGTGCTAATACATGAAAGATGTTGACTGTAAAATGCCATTCAAACAACACACCTACCCTCTACCAGGGTGGCAGATGTCATAGGCAAATTTTCAAAAAGCCACCCTGTAACTTTTGGCCAGATAGAAGCAATTAAATCTGCATGCCCACAGATGGCATCGCATCCGCTCTGTAGAGTGCTACTACTGGAGATTACTCAGTTCAACCTGAAATAACAAGCTATTCAGAAGGGGCTATTTTTATCTGTCGCAAAAGAGCAAGTGATTAAAATCAGAGCAATTAACTGTCTTGATTTCTGTCAAGGGGACTTGGCTTGGGCATGTTAAGGGGCAGTGCCTGAGCAGTTGTGTCATGTAATCATCCTTGAGATTTCATTACAGGGTGATAGAGAACCAAATGACCATCTATTTAACTAAAGACATATCTGTGAAAATCTTGTATCAATCTGTTGCCCTGGTAGAGGGTACAACACATCCACAAGGTCTCTCAAATATTTTTTCAACCATTTATCTCTGCAAGTTGCACATTGCTGTCCAGCATAAAGCTAACCATCTGTTGTCAATAGCAGTTGGAACATAAGGAGAGATCCATCTGCTTGTCTACCAGTTATGCTGCTGTGAAATAATACATCCCAAGTAGACCAATTGACTTTCATCAATATCATTCAAGATGCAGGGCATGGGTAGATTCCTGCTCAAAAATATACTGTTGAATTTCTGTTCCTAGAGCACTTGGGCCAAGCCATTTCCATTCCATACCCTATTTTGTACAAGTTTATTTTTGGAAAGAAACAAATTTCAACATGCTTCTTACATTCAGAAGTCCCTTATGACTGTCTTCAACTGATGTATGATTTTACGGTAGCAGAACTGGTAAAAAAATCTTTTCAGCAGCATGCGACTTGAAGAGGTGAAAGATGATTATAAGGCCGCATTCACATCGAGTTGAGCCATGGCTCTACAAAGCCACAACCTAAATATGGCGGACGTACATGAAAGGAAAACCGCCTAATCTTTTAATAGTCTCCCTGCCTCTCACACGCCTCCCCATGCGTCGTCCCTGCGGGGGTACAATCATCTCAGCTCCATTGGGACGACACATGGGGAGGCGTGTGAGAGGCAGGGAGACTATTAAAAGATTAGGCGGTTTTCTTTTCATGTACGTCCGCCATATTTAGGTCGTGGCTTTGTAGAGCCATGGCTCAACTCGATGTGAATGCGGCCTAATAAAAAGATTGGAAAGCCATAGGGATCATTCCCACAGATATTTGGATCAATCTATCTCCCTGAGGAGTCTCACTAAATTGCTATCAGATTTACCAGCTTAAATGTCTGTCGCGCCTAGTAAAGCTGTTAGGGAGTAATTATCCCCTAGCTGAATCGGTAGGCGTGACAGACATTTAAGCTGGTTAAGTTGACAGTATTTAGTGAGACTCCCCAGGGAGATAGATCGATCCAGATGGATCAAACTAGGGATGAGAACCCAGTCATAGTATCAGGCCAAATGTGTTGGCTGAATGGCATTTGTATTAATATTTTTCATGTGTAAATAAGTATAGTACATATCAAAAACCTAAATAAAAGTATTTAGGCATTATTCATTCTGCAAATCTAAATTAAACAAAAATACTGAGGCTCTTTAAATTCAATGATTCAAAAACCCTATAAAAATTAACTCTACTTTGTAAAGCAAAACATTGTATGTTTATTTTCACAACATTTTAAATAAATCAATAAAGTTATGTTCTCACTATCACTCCTCTTCTTCCAAATGGGTTAAATAAGTGTAGTGTAAATAAAAATTGGTAAGATTCAACCCAGATGAAACTGTCAAAATCAAACCAGCAGCAAACTTCCACTTGCTTATTTCTCTCATAGGTAACATTTGTGACTGAAGAGAAAATTTGTTTGAATTAGAAACTAAATAAATGAGGTGCACAGCACCTATTTAAACTACTTAAGTCAAAAACACAGCGTTTTTGTAGCACCCCCATCCCAACCATATAAATCTAATATAATTCAATATCTTTTCTGACTAAATTTGTGTGATGACTGAACAATGTCTCTGCTACTCAAAAATTTGTTTGGCAATCAATTTACTAATTTAAAGATTTTTTCACATAAAACTTTATATCTTTAAAATACCATAAGTGCCAAGGTTATCGCTACTTAAGGTAAAAACTTGCTGTAATCTCATGGGTTTAAGAACTGGAAAGTTTATTTTAAAAAGATAATAGTAAATTTCCAAACTAATTTCGTTGAAAAGCAGAGACACTGACCAAAGTAATGCTAAACTGAATTTGGAATAGCACTAAAAATTAGATAATCACAGGGTGGGGGGAATACTGCAAAATTACTAAAAACGCCTCGGTCAGTTCGGGCAAGGAATACGTGACAAACAGAATAATGCATTTTATTTCACACATCGCATATCAACAGCTATTTACTAATACAACGAAATAAAAAGATCGTACACGTATGCCATTACAATAAGGTTTTATGCTTTTAAAAGATAAAAAATACAATTAGGAGAGTGAAAAATGTCAGCTAAGTGAACAACTAGAGTCTACGTTTAATACATGTAAAACTTCTAACTTATATTATATTCCTCTTACTTTCATTTATTCACTACTTACAGAATCAGTCCATCCAGGATTTGCTTCATCGTATCTCCTAAACTTTTTATCTTTTACGGGATTCATTACCTTGTTACCTCGCGTGGGCACTCTTAGTACTTTCATGTAATTTGTACCAATTCTCCTTGCAAGCGCTAGGGTCGCCATTTTGAGCACACACTGAGAAGATCCCGTATGTAACAAACTGGGCCACATTACGAAACTAGGTCACGCGGCTGACCTTGAGATGTTACAACTTCTTGACATAATGTAACTTTGTTAGTTGATTAACTGAGAAAGAAGTACACCGTTTTGTATTTTTATATTATCATGAGAGATTTGAAAAATAAATCAAATCTTTTCGTTTACAAATATTGCCCAAAAATTATAATTTTTTTAAAAGATAACTTTAAAAGTTACAAAACTAAACCCAAAAGAATCTAATCTGTTTTCACATGTTCAAAATGTGTACTGTACATGTAGTACTGTAGTGACTCGGTCATGATATATTAAGTTGGCATATTGACATCTTTATAAACATTTAAATGTAACTGAAGGGGCTTTACGTCATGGCTTAAACGTAGGTACCTCAGAAAAACGCCCGAATAAAAAAGATTATTGTCAAAGCACTTAAAAGGGTATTAGATAACAGGGTTTTCTGTTACAACAACTGAAAAACCGTGCTTTCATGGGGTGTGACTGAAATGCGCAATACACTGCAATACAGCACAACACAGCGCAATACACTTGATAACACAAATCCAGTTGCAAGTAAACACAGGAAAGGGTAATCTCAAGTAAAATAGGGTAATATAAAAGCAAAGTAGGCCTATAGTACATAGTAATTAATATTGCTGATACAACTTGACAATTCTTTCATTGTTTGGTCAGCCGCCATGTTGGCGAGTAGCTCTTCTTGGCCAGTGATATATCCAAGAAGAGCTACTCGCCAACATGGCTGCCAATCGGACAATATAAAAGTCTTGCTGACTTATTAAGTTATATCATCGATATTACTTACCTAGTTATATAGGTTGTTTTTATATCACCCTACTTTGCTGGTAATAGTCATTTCTTTTGTGTAATTGCAACTGGATTCGATTTTTGAAGTGTATTGCACTGTGTTGCGCTGTATTGTGGTGTATTGCGCAATTCAGTCACACCGCTTTCATGTGTAGTTTGACATTTCTGACATAATTTTTGTACCACAAATAATAAAAGTTCATAATGCTTCTTCATATCCTTAACTTAGAGAAGAATTTCATCAGCTGTGTTATGTTATAAGAATTAAGTAATTTTTCTTCAGTCAACAGCTTAATATTAAAATAGTTTTTACCTTCAATATTTCAATGCCCAATTTTTGTCCTGAGTGAAAATATCACTCAAGTCTTATTTAGTTATCAAAACCTGACAAGGCAGCAAAGATGGCAAATGTAGCCTACAGGCAAAAAGCAGAAAATAATAATGCACAAAATATATAGCTAGGATACTCAATTGTTACAAAAATGTTTAGCTGTCAAACTGAGCTGCATTGTCTACCTGTAAGATGACTTTCCTGGCTCCTGATAAAAGTTCATACTCTTACCCTTACCTCTTACCAAATCTCTTACCTTAGGGGTCTAAATCCTCGTGAAGCTGTGTAAAGCCATTTTCCGTCTATTCAATTCGATCTTTAAAGATGCATACAAAGTCAATTTTTTGTCACAAAAACCAACATGTAGTTTCAACTAGTATATAACTAAGAGTCTATAGCTCTTTTATGGCTGATCGAGTGATATATTCAGTTTATCCCTTGGCATGTTGAATTTATTTGAGTCGTATAAGAAACTAGTAGAAGTGGTTAAGATGTGTTACAAGGAATCCACACTCCACCAATGCTCGGTTCGTACCTTTAACTAGCATTTAATTATGGTTATCCCAAGTTGTATAAAACACTGCATTCGAATGACTTGAGAGTACTGTTGATCATTCCATATGAGGTCCATGTTATTTGTGAAACTCAATTCATTTTATTAAACCGTTAAATCATTTTATGAAAACAACAACAATACAACTAGTAGTAGATATGATAAAAACACATCAGGCTGACGTTAATCATAGCTCCGATGCACATATTAAGTACATTTATAAGTTGTTTAATTGTGAAACATAGTTAATGGATAACAACTTAATTAGCTTGAAACCACTGTGCTTTGTTTAATAAATTTTTGATGTATTTCTGCCCAATCGTTCTATAGCAAAAACATTTTTAAATTCTTTTAAAAGGAATAAAATGTTATTCATCCTCATTGCAATGTCATCTAAAATACATAGTTTACAGGCTCTTAATTTTTATTTGTATGTTTACCTTCCAGTTTCTATAGCTAGATTGTGCATGGGCGTAACTACAATAGGCATACGCACGGGTGCACTGTGCACACAGTTTTTTATTTTTTTATTTTTGCCAACCATGATATAATTTTATATAAATTTAGTGTATTTTTCACGGAATATAATCGAAAATTTTCTGCGAGTTAAGTAGCCTTCAACTCTCCTGTAGCCTTTGTTTTGAGAGTATCGAACGCACTCTCGCTGGCGATATTTATATCAAGTAAAAACTCTATCTGTGCGTTATTTTCAAAGAGCAGCTCCTGCAGATCTGGGGGCACTAGATAAAATCTGGACACCAGGTTTATAAAGGAGCTAGAGAAACAAAGGAAGATTTTTTCCTGCAAAGCTTCATAGAAATTTTAACACGGACTTGATCAAGCTTAGACCTCCAAACTAACAGGGTGACATGGGCAGTTTTCACAAACAAATAATAAAACTCCTTTTAAATAAATATACCATTCAGGGTAAATAAGAATATTGAAACTTTATTAAATCGCTTGCTTCAATAAGAATATTGAAACTTTATTAAATAACGAGAATATTTTTGACTTAAATCATGATTTTATTATTAATGGAAATTAAGCTACTGCATGTGGTATATTTGCTGTGATAATGCTGTTGCGTTTGTCTACTATACATGTTGCTCTTTTTTACACCCAACATTCTTTTAAAAATCTGTATGTGCCTTTCTTATACCCCTTACCAGGTTAAATCTCCATGCATAATTGAAAATATACTAACGTACATATCAAAACTACACATTAAAGAAATCATTTTTTAACATGCTGCTAATTGCAAACAATGCTTTTTTACCTTGATCTGCTACATGTTTTGGGGTTTGACAAAACTTACAAATTTGCAAAAAGTTTTGCGTACAGAAGCAGAACTTGCATTTCAAGTTATAAAATGATAAATCTTTTAAATTATTTAATATTTCAGTTGAAATAACCTTCAGAAACAAATCCTCAAAGCATAAATGAATTAGGATTACGAACCATATTTTATTACAGCAGTTCCCATTTTCTCTTTAATATTACCGCTCTTTTTCCAGTTGTTCCTCAACCACGTTTTCTTCCACATAAGTAATGCCTGGGCATACACATGCTTCAAGATACCCTGAGAGCAATCACTTTTATTATGTTCGCGAACATCTTTGAACTCAATTGTTAAATATCGATATTTAACGTCATTTAAAAATACCAATAAAATTACCCCATGAAATAAAAGAGATATATTGAAAAATATTAAAGCCCACCAAGAATCTGACGAGTTGGATACCTGTTATTACCTGACTTGGGAAGTGCAGCGGTGCATAATTAACAGGTTTGATTGTTAACGAGCTCTTGGTCAACTACAGTGCATTTAGAATGCATCAGCAATAAGTAAGCTTGTCAACTGATGACAGCTAATTTGAAAGACTATCAGCTTTTGATATGATCTATACAACTTGAGGTGACCATGATCTCAAGCATCACATCTATTATCACTGAAGTTAGTAAATAAGTCACGGAAGACCGTCACAGACAAAGAAAGAAGATTGTCAACGAGTGCTGCAATTTTGGTGAATCCCACGTCAATACATTGAGGCATACGAAAATTGCTCAAGTCCATTCCACACAACTTTCNGCAGATCTGGGGGCACTAGATAAAATCTGGACACCAGGTTTATAAAGGAGCTAGAGAAACAAAGGAAGATTTTTTCCTGCAAAGCTTCATAGAAATTTTAACACGGACTTGATCAAGCTTAGACCTCCAAACTAACAGGGTGACATGGGCAGTTTTCACAAACAAATAATAAAACTCCTTTTAAATAAATATACCATTCAGGGTAAATAAGAATATTGAAACTTTATTAAATCGCTTGCTTCAATAAGAATATTGAAACTTTATTAAATAACGAGAATATTTTTGACTTAAATCATGATTTTATTATTAATGGAAATTAAGCTACTGCATGTGGTATATTTGCTGTGATAATGCTGTTGCGTTTGTCTACTATACATGTTGCTCTTTTTTACACCCAACATTCTTTTAAAAATCTGTATGTGCCTTTCTTATACCCCTTACCAGGTTAAATCTCCATGCATAATTGAAAATATACTAACGTACATATCAAAACTACACATTAAAGAAATCATTTTTTAACATGCTGCTAATTGCAAACAATGCTTTTTTACCTTGATCTGCTACATGTTTTGGGGTTTGACAAAACTTACAAATTTGCAAAAAGTTTTGCGTACAGAAGCAGAACTTGCATTTCAAGTTATAAAATGATAAATCTTTTAAATTATTTAATATTTCAGTTGAAATAACCTTCAGAAACAAATCCTCAAAGCATAAATGAATTAGGATTACGAACCATATTTTATTACAGCAGTTCCCATTTTCTCTTTAATATTACCGCTCTTTTTCCAGTTGTTCCTCAACCACGTTTTCTTCCACATAAGTAATGCCTGGGCATACACATGCTTCAAGATACCCTGAGAGCAATCACTTTTATTATGTTCGCGAACATCTTTGAACTCAATTGTTAAATATCGATATTTAACGTCATTTAAAAATACCAATAAAATTACCCCATGAAATAAAAGAGATATATTGAAAAATATTAAAGCCCACCAAGAATCTGACGAGTTGGATACCTGTTATTACCTGACTTGGGAAGTGCAGCGGTGCATAATTAACAGGTTTGATTGTTAACGAGCTCTTGGTCAACTACAGTGCATTTAGAATGCATCAGCAATAAGTAAGCTTGTCAACTGATGACAGCTAATTTGAAAGACTATCAGCTTTTGATATGATCTATACAACTTGAGGTGACCATGATCTCAAGCATCACATCTATTATCACTGAAGTTAGTAAATAAGTCACGGAAGACCGTCACAGACAAAGAAAGAAGATTGTCAACGAGTGCTGCAATTTTGGTGAATCCCACGTCAATACATTGAGGCATACGAAAATTGCTCAAGTCCATTCCACACAACTTTCCTAAACTTCTCTGTCTGTATGCACCATGCAGCACAGTTAAGTCTCAAAGACCTTTATCCTCATTGTCGTCAGAGTACTACGTGACCCAGATCTGTTGCTTCATTTATGCATATTGAGGTGAGGTTCACTTTTTTCTACTAATAGATTGTTTTTATACTTTTGAATTGGTGGGGATTGATTAAAACATGTCTATAGTGTATGGATTGAGTGCTGAATCTTCAAAATTCGACAAATGGATTTTGATGTGTCTGATATCCTTTAATGACATGGACATTAAGGCTGCGTTCACATGTAAAATCTATTCTCTGAAAATCTATTTGGGCTATCTTGTGACCACGGTCTGTGCATTAAATACCCCGCGGCGTAATTACTGGCAGCGCCGAGAATTAATTACAGCTTTGGAAGTAACTGTCTCGTGCTGCCCGTAATTATGTCGGGGGATATTCAGGGCACAGACCGTGATCACAAGATACCGCAATAGATTTTTAGAAAATAGATTTTTCATGTGAACGCAGCCTAAGAAAATTTGAATACCACTGGGCTTCATGCTTGTGGGAGTTCCAAGTCCCACGTTGAAAATGACAATATGTGAAAGATAAAAATTTCACAAAAATGTACAATTGGAATAGAAGCCAATTTGACTCATACCAACTTGGGCTGCATTTGAGTCCTATGTTGGAATTTCTTTTAAGGCCACTATAAAGGCAGCGCCCAAAGTAGGGTTTTCTTCAATTCTGATGCAAGATTACATAATGCTTAACACTATAATGACCATCATTTAATAATTAGATAAAAGTATCATGGATATTCAGAAAATGTGACTAGCAAAGGTCTTCAAGCCCATGGAAGTTCAAAGTCACACCTTGAAAATGTCAATATGTGAAAATGTCAAAAGAACACTTTCATGTATCTAAGGGTGTATTCCCAGAGATTTAGATCGATCCAGGGATTAAGATTTAGATCGACCTAACTCCCTGGGGGCTCACACTAAATTGCAGTCAGTCGAGCACGCACTATAGTTAATTACCCCCTTACAGCTTTCAGTAGGCGGGACAGACGCTTAAGCCGGCTAAGATGACAGTAATCTAGTGAGACTCCCCACAGGGATAGATCGATCTAAAATCTATGGAAATGGGGTCTAATTAGTTCAATAATGAGACTGTTAACCTGCCTAAGAAATAAATCTGAAGACAAACCACTTATAAAACAAAAAACAAGGCAGCAAAGCTGTCAAATGTACAGACAAAAAGCAGGAAATAACAAAATAGGCTACTGTCAATTCTGATGCAAAAGTACATTATGTTAAACTGCAAATTCAACATCAAATTCTAATTATGCTCAACAGGTAATACCAATGTAAGTAAAATGTGTAACAAACATAAGGCTTCAGGCCCATGGGAGTTCAAGTTCACCCTTTGAAAATGTAAAACTTCCAGAAAAAGAAGTCAATTAGACTGCTTTTCCAACTCAGGCTGCATTTTAGTCCTGTATTTCTTTTTTGAAAGTTTGGCAATCATAAGTAACATGGTTTTCCCATAATGGTCATCATGGCAGCAGCACC